TCCATCCCTCTTTTTCTCGCACTCTGTTTCAGCTCCTCAAATTCAGCCGCCCTGTTTCTCGCACTCAGTTTTAGCCACTCAGTTTCCGTCCCTCTGTTGCTTGCACTCTTTATCAGCACCTGTGTTTCTCGCACTTTGTTTCAGCCCCTGTTTCTCGCACTCAGTTTCAGACCCTCTGTTTCAGCCCCTCTGTTTCTCGCACTCTGCATCAGAGCCTCTGTTTCTCGCACTTTATTTCAGCCACTCTGTTTCAGCCTCTCTGTTTCTCACACTCTGTTACAGCCCCTCTGTCTCAGGCCGTCTGTTTCCATCCCTCTTTTTCTCACACTCTGTTTCAGCTCCTCTGTTCCTCGCATTCTGTTTCAGCCCCTCTGTTCCTCGTACTCTGCTTCAGCCCCTCTGTTTCAGCACCTCTGTTTCTCACAGTCTGTTTCAGCCCCTCTGTTTCTCACGCTCTGTTTCAGCCCTCTGTTTCTAGCACTCTGTTTCAGCCCCTCTGTTTCTTGCACTCTGTTTCATCCCATCTGTTTCTCGCACTCTTTTTCAGCACCTCTAAATCAGCATCTCAGTTTCTTGCACTCTGTTTCAGCCCATCTGTTTCTCACACTCTGTTTCAGCCCCTCTGTTTAGGCCCCTCTGTCTCTCGCACTCTGTATCAGAGCCTCTGTTTCTCGCACTTTGTCTCAGCCCCTCTGTTTCAGCCTCTCTGTTTCACACACTCTGTTACAGCCCCTCTGTCTCAGGCCCTCTGTTTCCATCCCTCTTTTTCTCGCACTCTGTTTCAGCTCCACAAATTCAGCCGCCCTGTTTCTCGCACTCAGTTTTAGCCACTCAGTTTCAGACTCTCTGTTTCAGCCCCTCTGTTTCTCGCACACTGTTTCAGAGCCACTGTTTCTCGCACTTTGTTTCAGCCCCTCTGTTTCAGCCCTTCTGTTTCAGCCCCTCTGTTTCTCGCACTCTGTAACAGTCCCTGTTTTTCTCGCACTCTGTTTCAGCTCCTCTGATTCAGCTGCCCTGTTTCTCGCATTCAGTTTTAGCGACTCAGCTTCAGCCCTTCTGCTTCTACATCTCTGTTTCAGCCCCTCTGTTTCTACAACTCTGTTTCAGCCCCTCTGTTTGAGCCCCTCTGTTTCTCGCACTCTGTTTCAGACCCTTGGTTTCAGACCCTCTTTTTCTCACACTCTGCTTCAGCCCCTCTGTCTCAGGCCCTCTGTTTCCATCCCTCTTTTTCTCGCACTCTGTTTCAGCTCCTCAAATTCAGCCACCCTGTTTCTCGCACTCAGTTTTAGCCACTCAGTTTCAGCCCCTCTGTTTCTTGCACTCTTTATCAGCACCTCTGTTTCTCGCACTTTGTTTTAGCTCATGTTTCTCGCACTCAGTTTCAGACCCTCTGTTTAGGCCCCTCTGTTTCTCGCACTCTGTATCAGAGCCTCTGTTTCTCGCACTTTGTCTCACCCCCTCTGTTTCAGCCTCTCTGTTTCTCACACTCTGTTACAGCCCCTCTGTCTCAGGCCATCTGTTTCCATCCCTCTTTTTCTCGCACTCTGTTTCAGCTCCTCTGTTCCTCGCATTCTGTTTCAGCCCCTCTGTTCCTCGTACTCTGCTTCAGCCCCTCTGTTTCCCGCAATCTGTTTCAGCCCCTCTGTTTCCGCCACTCTGTTTCAGCCCCTCTGTTTCAGTTCCTCTGTTTCTCGCACTCTTTTTCAGCACCTCTGTTCCTTGCACTCAGTTTCAGCCCATCTGTTTCAGCCCCTCTGTTTCTCGCACTCTGTTTCAGCCCCTCTGTTTCTCACACTCTGTTACAGCCCCTCTGTCTCACGCCGTCTGTTTCCATCCCTCTTTTTCTCGCACTCTGTTTCAGCTCCTCTGTTCCTCGCATTCTGTTTCAGCCCCTCTGTTCCTCGTACTCTGCTTCAGCCCCTCTGTTTCTCGCACTCTGTTTCAGCCTCTCTGTTTCTAGCACTCTATTTCAGCCCCTCTGTTTCTCGCACTCTGTTTCAGCCCCTCTGTTCCTCGTACTCTGCTTCAGCCCCTCTGGTTCTCGCATTCTGCTTCAGCCCCACTATTTCAGCCCATCTGTTTCAGAGCCTCTGTTTCTCGCACTCTGTTCCAGCCGCTCTGTTTCAGACCCTCTGTTTCTGCCCCTCTGTTTCAGCCCTTCTGTTTCTCGCACTCTGTTTCCGCCTGTCTTTTTTCTCGCACTCTGTTTCAGCTCCTCTGATTCAGCCACCCTGATTCTCGCACTCAGTTTTAGCCACACAGTTTCAGCCCCTCTGTTTCAGCCCCTCTCTTTCTCGCAATCTGTTTCAGCCCCTCTGTTTCTCGCAATCTTTTTCAGCCCCTCTGTTTCAGCCCCTCTGATTCTCGCACTCTGTTTCAGCCCCTCTGTTTCAGCCCCTCAGTTTCTCGCACTCTGTTTCAGTCCCTCTGTTTCAGCCATTCTGTTTCAGCCCCTCTGTTTCAGTTCCTCTGTTTCTCGCACTCTTTTCCAGGCTCCTCTGTTCCTCGCACTCAGTTTCAGCCCATCTGTTTCAGCCCCTCTGTTTCTCACACTCTGTTTCAGCTCCTCTGTTTCTCGCACTCTGTTTCAGCACCTCTAAATTAGCATCTCAGTTTCTCGCACTCTGTTTCAGCTCCTCTGTTCCTCGCATTCTGTTTCAACCCCTCTGTTTCTCGCACTCTGTTTCAGCCCCTCAGTTTCAGGCCCTCTGTTTCTCGCATTCTGTTTCAGCACCTGTTTCTTGCACTCTGTTTCAGCCCCTTTGCTTCTCGCACTCTGTTTCTCGCACTCTGTTTCAGCCCCTCTGTTTGAGCCCCTCTGTTTCTCGTACTCTGCTACAGCCTCTCTGTTTCAGACTCTCTGTTTCTGCCCCTCTGTTTCAGCCCCTCTGTTTCTCGCACTCTGTTTCAGCCCCTCTGTTTCAGCCCCTCTGTTTCTCACGCTCTGTTTCAGCCCCTCTGTTTCTCGCCCTCAGTTTCAGCACCTGTGTGTCAGCCCCTCTGTTCCTCGTACTCTGCTTCAGCCCCTCTTTTTCTCGCACTCTGTTTCAGCCCCACTATTTCAGCCCCTCTGTTTCAGAGCCTCTGTTTCTCGCACTTTGTTTCAGCCCCTCTGTTGAAGCACCTCTGTTTCTCGCACTCTGCTACAGCCTCTCTGTTTCAGACTCTCTGTTTCTGCCCCTCTGTTTCAGCCCGTCTGTTTCAGCCCCTCTGTTTCTCACACTCTGTTTAGCTCCTCTGTTCCTCGCATTCTGTTTCAGCCCCTCTGTTTCTCGCACTCTGTTTCAGCCCCTCGGTTTCTCGCACTCTGTTTCAGCACCTCTGTTTCGCGCACCCTGTTTCAGCCCCTTTGCTTCTCGCACTCTGTTTCAGCCCCTCAGTTTCAGGCCCTCTGTTTCTCGCACTCTGTTTCAGCACCTATGTTTCAGCCCCTCTGTTTCTCGCACTCTGTTTCAGCACCTCTGTTTCAGCCACTCTTTTTCTCACACTCTGTTTCAGCCCCTGTGTTTCTCGCACTCTGTTTCAATCCCTCTTTCATCCCCTCTGTTTCTAGCACACCGTTTCAGCACCTCTGCTTCAGCCCCTCTGTTTCAGTCCCTCTGTTTCAGCCACTCTGTTTCAGCCCCTCTGTTTCAGCCCCTCTGTTTCTCACACTCTGTTTCAGCCCCTCTGTTTCTCGCACTCTGTTTCTCGCACTCTGTTTCCAGCACTCTGTTACAGCCCCTCTGCTTCTCACACTCTGTTTCAGACCCTCGGTTTCAGACCCTC